GCCTACTTCCGGCAAACCCCCAATATACCCTCAATGGGGTGTAGCGATGTCTCCCAAACTGCCCCCAAACACCCTAAACAATCATCAACTTGTCACTCAGAACAAGCCTGTGTGAATAGAGTGGAAACCCTAAAACGTATTCACGACTCGCAGGTGACAACAAACTTATCCTGGGTATCATCAAAGGATGAGGTGAGAGCTTACATCGGTCTCCTGCCTTAGAGTTGAACAGGTAACTCCAGTGCTAGAGGATAACAAAAACTATGACATCCCATTCATCACCCCTTTCTGATCCATAGAATGGCCATCACTATTGCAGCTAAAGACGGCAGTTTGAATTTTAGTGCACTCCATAGTAACATTACATTACTTTATTAGAAAGCATTGTAATCCCTTTTAAAGGAGACATATTGGAAGAGTAAAATGTATTCTTCCCAATACTTAGAGCCAGTGTGTGACACTGCAGCTGTCACATGCCGGCTCTATAGATCGAAAAAAAAAAAAAAAAGAGGGATCATGGACCACAGATCGCTCAGCTCACGGCTTCTCTCTGCAGAGAACGGTGACTGTCAGTCACCGCTCCCCACTGGGATTCCCCCCCTCCCCTCTCTCTATTCCTCCAGCGTTCACTGAAAGGACAGATAGGGAGGGGTCAAGCACAGTTTGCTCTGGCTCTAGAGTGGCAGAGACAGCTGTCAATCAGGCAGCGGGGTGGATCAATATCATCATGATCCTTGCAGGCGGCAGCATAGCTCTGCGCTGTCAGCAAATAGTGGGCAGTAGCCCCCTAGATGATGACTTTGGGTCACAGTAGGACATTAGTAAATGTAGTTCTGTATCCCAAAAGAGGGTTAAAGCTAAAAAAAGTACTTGTCAAAATGCCCTGTTTTTACAGGGGGTCAGGGTCGGGGAGGGGGGCGCAAAAATGCACCTTGCCTGTGTAGGCAGGAATCCTAGCACCGGCCCTGTTTTACACCTAGAATGTTGTGATGTGATTTGAACATTCAAAGACTGTGTTATTCTGCACACACAATTTTTTTTTTAATGAAAAGTGACCAGCAAAATTCTACCAAGCTCTATAAGAAGCTTTCTGAATGTATTTTTGTGGTTTGCAATTTTTATTTTATTAGATCAGTTTAGCCGCATTGAAGGATCAGGTAAATTATCACATGGATACATGTGTGGCTACTATAAGACATACGTGGTTGCAAAGCCATCACTTTGGGTTCTATTAACATGTGAAGTGGCATGTAAGTTTTTTGTGTGATAGATGTGATCCATTCTATTAGAAAGAAAAAAAAGTTTATATGGGAAATAATCTGCTAACTAGTGAAATGCTCTGCAGCAGCTATACCATAAAAATATATATTATCAATATCCCTTCCATTAAACTCAAAGCTTTGCAGTAATTAAAACCCCAATCATTGAAATGCAAACAACCGCTGGGTATGAAATAGTTAAGAAAATCTCTGGTATCACCAGCGATGCTGAAATGCAGTTGCAAGAGATTAGGTGGGATGAAGAGATGGGATGATTAAATTGGTACCCAACCACAACTGCTTGAATACAAGGTTTAATCTGACAGTCTGCACCCCACATGTATTGATTTTTGCTTTGTCTGATAAATGTAATGTTGAGTGATCGTTGCCGGGCAGCTCAATATCTGAAATACAGCCAATGCCTGGAGAGCCGCCTTGTGTAAGGAAAGCCATTTAAACAATGTCTACAGTATACGAGACACAGATGGGCCATTCTTTCATGGCAGCAAAGGCTCAGACCTTCTTTTCCCATGTAAACAAACATTCATCGCACTGACAGCACAGCCCATTCCATGCAGCTGGCATATGTTTGATGGGTTTTGCAGAACTCATGCCATGACTACTTGTATTTGAAAGGCAAATGCAGTCATGTCATAGGGACAAAGTTTACTGTTTCTTGTCTTACTGTTAGTAAAGAATGGTGCAATAAGTGGGCATATCAAGCAACTTATTAGCTGCGTAGAGAATGTGCCCTCTCACAGGAAGCGTATTTGCTAAATGAATTTGGGTTTAAGTAATAACTTGCTGTATGATTAATGAATCCATCACCCAACAACTGAACACTTCCAGGCAGGCTCAGAAAGAGTGCAACAAAGAGAAAAAGCTCTAAATGCCATGTTTTGCCTACATGAATTTACACAAATTTCTAAAAGACATAACCAGTCTTTGACCAATAAATAACCAATTGATAAAAACTAATGTTGGCAGAAAATAATTTCCAACTTGAGCCAATTATTTGACTGGTATTTCTATTTGTTCAATCTTAGACAGCCATTTTGGTTCCTTAAAAGGATAAGTTCACCTTTTGCAAAAATTAAAGAAATGTATAATTATCAATATATTAAAAAAATATGCATTTCTTTAATATTTGCATTCAAGCCTGGAAAGCATTGCAATCATGATCACTTGATCACAGCTGCAAAGCTCAGGCTTCTCTACATTTTCAAGATGGCAGAGCTCATACAGAGTTTCAGTTAGGAAAGATGGGGGGAGGGGGTTGAAAGGACGGCTGGACTTCAAACAGCATTAAATCACCTCATACAGCATCCAGCCGTCCTCGCTCTAGGTAGAGCTGCCTATGTTCCCGCATATACCTAGAGCATGGACGGCTGGACACTTTATGAGGTGATTTAATGCAATTTGAGCTCCAGTCGTCCTTCCCCCATCTCTCCTAACTGAAACTCCGTACCTCCGTACTAGCTCTGTCTGGGAGAGAATGTGTAGAAGCCTGAGCTTTGCAGATGTGATCGAGTGATCACAATTGCCATTCTTTCCAGGCTTGAATGCAAATATTAAAGAAATGCATATTTATGTATATATTATTAATGATGCATTTCTTCAATTTTTTCAAAAGCTCCACTTATCCTTTAAATAACACAGTACTCTTCATATTTGTGGAGGTATTAATGAACATATACATTGGCTCTGTGAGTTTTGGGCAGCCAGCAGCCTGAATTTATCAAATGATTTCTTCTATTTCTTAGTGACACTATGAAATGTAAACTTCTGGCTACCTACATCACTTGTGGCATTCACTATAAAGGTAGTTTCCCTGATGGTTCCATTTATTTGCAATGTTAAATTATTTAAATACAAAACATGCAGCAGGAGTAGGTTTAAAATTGTTATGGTTTATGGTTATATTTATAGTTTTAGCATGGGCAATTCGACCCATGGGCTGCCACGAGGCTAAAAGCTTGGTTTAATGTGGATGTATCCTTTTAAATGTTCCTGGGAATAAAGTATGAAAGCCTGTTTGGCACCCTTTTACGTTTTTATATGTTTTTCAACCATTTTTTAACTGTTCTTATATGTATACAATCATTGTTATACAAGTAAACATTTGCTACATGGCACAGGATTACCAGAGTACTATGGGTTCTTTAAATAGAAAGCACATCTGAGGCAGCCTGCTGGCTGGCTTTGTCTGACTGAAACCACAGATGAAGCTGTACAGTAAGAGATGATGTACTGCTCTGACTCATTAACTTGTGTGTTAAAATTACAACTCAATCTGTTGACACTAAAGGTAAAGATAAAGACTGTCTAGAAAACACTAAAGCCCCAAATGAACAATATAAATAAAGAACGAAGAGTTATATTCCATTTCAATTTAATTATATTATGCCAAAAATATTCCTTATGACATCTCAGTGCATTTTAGCCTATGACAGTTTTCCAAGAAGTGCCAGATGACTTTGTTTTGGATTTTATATCATTTCCTGTTATTTTTGCATGCCTCCATGCCATGTGTCTGTGTGTGTATTACATCCGACTGACTCGGCATATTATATTATATAGAGTTCATTTACAGAGCGGATCTGATCTAGCAAAAAGCAGGGCTTTATCCTGTCACAACAATCAGTGGAGGGTTTTAAAAGGGAGATTGCTGCACAATCCCCAGTGACCTTTCCTTTAGAAAGCACATATTTCTTTTCTTTTTTTTTTGAATAGCAGAATATTGCATGTTTGAGAGAGACTTTTTCTTCCACCTTTGAATATGTCTGATCTGCATTTTGAGTGGATTTTAGGTATAACATTCATCTGGAGTCATTGTAGCCACTGTTAAATATTATAACTGACTGAGCACTTCCACAGCAATGTAAATCACTATATA